AAATTGGACTTTAAAAAAATTTTTTTTAGTAAAATCTCTATTCTAATTAGTTATGGTGACTTTCAGAGACTCAAGTCACACAACACACTCCACAGTTGCAGCATGGAGCACTTCATGTAGCCTAAACAAAAAGTAAAACTTTATTTGATAGCCATGAAGTATGCTTTGTAACCTGAACTTTGAGCTGCTATATCTTTGTAGCATTGGCTCAAAAATCAATTGTATAAAGTTGGTCATGAAATATTTTTGATCAACTTTAATGTTGTATTATAAAAGAGACCTTGGTGTGATGAATGTAAGGAATCTTTATAAGTGTCACGTGAAGGTTCCTTTTTTAGTATGAAATTTGGACATCAAAGTCTTATTACGATCCACCTTAAAATAACTAATTTTTGAAATATAATTCAAGAAATTTCGTATCATAAGAATTATATAGAACCAACATGTGGTATGCTTTTATTTTAGCTTAGAAAATAGGGAGGTGAAGCTTAACAAAATTTAGAGTAAACAGAAAAAAATAGGGTAAAAAAAATTTAAGCATTCAAATTTAGACGCTTGACGGTTTAAGTAATAATCAAATCTTAGTGATATTTAGAATTCTGTAATGTTTTGCGGTAACTAAGAGTGATTTCTGTGGTTGGCTGTGATTAAGAGAAATCATGGTTATTTGTGAATCACAGGAAATCATCGTCTCTGACCTGACCTAATGGCAATAACAGGAATTACTTTGTTGGTGAAATAACTATCAATAAAATAAAATATTGATAAGTTAAACTATTGATGAATAAGCTGTCAATAAATTAAATTGTTAGTAAAACGAGTGTTGGTAAAATAAACAGAACCAAAAATGTGTTATAAAAAGAACAATTGGAATTATAAAGTCTGAGAAATTGCATTTCAGAAAAAAATGAACTTCGGAAAGTAAGCAACAATAGTAACAACTGTATTCATGAATATTACTACCTGGGTAACCTATTCACAAATGACTAGATTTGGATTTCAGGATGGATACAATCACTACTTATAGCATAGGCTTTTACCCAACCCTAGTATTTAATTTTTAACCTAATACAAATTTAATTTGACACATAACATGTCTAAATTATACTACATTTGATCTAATATAGGTCAATTATATAACAATTATTTTCTTAAAGTTGGCCCAGAGATTTTAGGGCTGGATAAAATAGAGCATTGGGAAATAATTGTCAGTAATAATTTTAACGAATTATTTAAATCTGTATTGTACTTAAAGCTTTAACAACGAAACAATATGACAATAAAAATTTATTGGTTTATTTTACATGAATAGTATTAGTATGTAGATAAGCATTAGGCCGCTTGCAGTTGATTCTTCGGTTAACATCATCCCCCCAACTGAAGTCTCCCCCGAAAAATGAACAACCAATCAAAACGCTGGATAACTCTCGCCGATCACCTGATTTACATTGACCAATGAAATTGGCCCATATCTGTTCATTTTTATATGTTCGTTTCATTTTACCCCCTTCCCCCCTCCCGGAAGTCCTAGAAAGTGATGTTAACCGAAGAATCAACTTCGAACGGCCTTACTAAAAGAAAACAAAATTTCAGGCTTTGAATTTTTAAGGTTGAGTTGATTTAATTATAAGTTCAAAAGCCTGAAGTCTAATTTTCTTTTAATATTATTCGAATACAAACAAAAAGTATCATTTTGTTTATTGTTTTTGTATATAAGCCACATGCTATGCTTAATAGCCACGCGCAAAATATTTTGATTCACTAACATGGCTCAATATTTTCAAAGTATTTTAGGATTTGATCTTCGCAAAGTTTAATTTTTCCAGGGTTCACCTTTACCAAGGGTTTCGCCAAAGTTACACCGTTTCGCCAAAGTCTCGTCAGTTTCGTTTTTCACCGGGTTAGTTACGCCTTTTGCCATTTGCAAAAATGGTTTCGCTAACAACAGTAGTCCAATGAACAGTAGGTATATTATATCTCAGTTTTGGGATTTTTTTGAAGGCGCAAGCTATTAATGATATTTGTGGTGAATTTTTGTTAGTGAAACGTCACTTTCTCAAAAAGTACTTTAAACATATAAGTTACCCTAGCAATTGATTTACAAAACAAACCTCTTCCTATGACCCTAAAATATCTTCCGTCGAGGTTTATATTATTCTATGAGAGTGTGAAATCCGCGTTGATTGGTTATTATATGTAAAATCCAGTGCGTATGATGTGTCTCAAATGCATCCTTACGTCAGATGACGCCCGTCAGCTGCAAACTGACGCAAGGAAAATAAATAAAATCTGATAGGTGAAATCCGCTACCAAAACAATTTTTTTTCTAAAATTTTGAACGAAAATATCTCGATAACTACCTGACCAAATTCGATAAAATTTTTTTTATTTGAATTCTATGAATTTATATAATTCAAAGAAAAACCATCGAATTTGGTCAGGTTGCTGCCTAGATATCTTTAAAAGTTTTAAAAAATTTGGTACAGCTTCTATTTTTGAATTTTTTTCTAAAACTTTGGGCAAAGATATCTCAACACCAACCTGACCAAATTCAGTGAAAAATTTTTTATTTGAATTCTATAACTATATAATTCAAATAAAAAGTTTTCAACGAATTTGGTCAGGTGGTTGTCTAGATATCTTCACTCAAAATTTTAGGAAATTTGGCACAGCTTCTATTTTTAAGACGCATAGAGTTTTTTCTAAACCTTTGAGTGAGCGAAGACATCTCTACAATCACTTGATCAAATTGGATAAAAATTCTTTTATATAAATTCTATGAATACACAGAATTCAAATAAAAATTTTTATCGAATTTGGTCAGGTGGTTGTCGAGATATCTTCGCTCAAAGTTCTAGAAAACCTTTTGTTTTGATAGCGGATTTCACTCTAACCATATTGATTTACTTATCGGATTTCACATATAATAAACAATCAACGCGGATTTTACTGATTGACAATGCGGGTTTTTACCCTTTGTATTATTATTATTTTTTTATTTGATCATACTTTAAGCTTTATAAATAGAAACTCCTTAGAAACACCGTAAATCGCAAAATCCAGACGTTCCTGCCAGTAAAGATTTTCTTATCGGACACAATTCAAAAATTTAGTATATCGATATATTGTACCCCAAATAAATTACTCAATTAATTAGTTTTTCCTTTTTGGTTTGACTGAAATGAGCCCTACAAATTAGCGTAACATCTCGCCGTCACACAATTGAATGAATATTTTGTACAAAATTTATACAGTATTAAAAAATCAAATTTGGTTATCCAATCAAAGCTTTCAAAACTCGCAAAATGATCTACAGAAACTAACCAATTCTGTAAAAATGTCCTTCAGCCAAAACGAAAAAGGTCAAATTCTAGTATTTATTACTGTACGATGTTTTAAATGATCAGAAAATCAGTCAATGATCATAGGTTATGTGTAATTCTTTCCCTAACGGTATTGATCTTTAACGTTATTAACGTTAATTGTCAACATTAAATAAATTTTTTTGGAAAAGAAACAAAATTGATTTAAAAAACACCGGAATCTCCAAAAACATTTAATTTGATAAATTTCCCAATTTGTACTATACTAAAAATCGGTTTGTTTCTTTCAAATCCGTTAATCTCGAATTCGTGCAATTTTGAAGTTTTTTAAGAAAATTAATTTCTAACCTTCTTAAACAAAACTTACCTAAAATATTGGTATCACAGCATAATTCTTATATATAAAACTTGTATATAGCAACAATAATATGTGAGAAACAAATTCGATCACTGGCCCTAGTTTATCTTATCCTAAATTTTGTATAATATATTGATCAAAAAAAAAAAGCATCATCACAATGAGAATTTGGTTTTATTTACGAAATTCAATACGCAGATTGAATAGGACGAATAAAAAGTTATTTAGGGTCTTTTTGGTTTTAATTTTTATAATATTTCAATACCTAATTTTAACATACAAGATTAAAAATATACCTGGAAATCATCAAGAAGCAAGTCTTGGCGTTAATGTTGCTAAGTTTGCTAATCCTCTTATTGGAACTGCTAGAGGTAATGTTTAATTTAATAGTTCAATTTCGGAGTTAATCAGACACCAAATCAATAGATCATCATTACCTCCTTGGCATTAATAGATGGGCATGTATTCCCCGGTCCTTGCCTTCCCTTTGGGGTCGTTAAAGTAGGTTTCGATACTGATGATAAGTCAGATTTTAATGGCGGGTAAGAATTAGTTATTTAATTTCCATCGCTCAACAAAAAGAGTTGGGCTAATATATAAAATGAATGAGATTCTTTAATATTTCATTTACTGGCGTCCAAACACTTTTTGCAAGGCTATTTATATAGTATAAATACCGTAAAGTGTCATATAAAAGATCCGGGTCTGTTACATTCTGCCAATTTTAAAACCTATATTTTTGTATGGGTGTGGGTATGATAATTGGGGGTTTATTCTAGTTCTTTAGTTTTCCTATTTGTATACCTGGGTCTCTTACGTATTATCAAAAATTTTATCCCATATTATAGACCCGGGTCTAATTCATGGGGATCTTTTATATGGTACTTTACGGTACACAGGTCGAATGTATAAGTGTCAACAAATCTTCTGATATGTATCCAATATTATTCATTCGGCCTGTGTGGAGAGAAATGGAATAGCATTCATTCACGAATGCTCTGCCTGTCTCCAGTAAAAAGTAAAATCGTTATCTTACAATAATATTATTGCTCATCGATGATTTTGCAGATACACTACTCATGGATCTATTACGGGGATTTCTCGTAAGTATTTCTATATATTTCTATAGATTAAGCTTTTTTTTTTAAACTAACGAATACTTACATACAGAAAACTTTTTAAATAGATTTACATGTCAGTGGAACAGGAGGTAAAAAAAAAAAATTTAAAATAAATAATCTTTAAACATTTTGTAACATCTATTAACTTATAACAAATTAGGTGAACCAAAATATGGAGTAATAAGTCAATTTCCAGTGATGGATTTGCCAGATGACAGACTCAGACTAGATGGATATTCATCCAGAAGGTCGTTTGAGCATTTTGAAGTTGGTTATTTAAAATTTGGATTAGAACGTTACAAAATCATGGTTGAATTAACTGCTAGTCGCAGAACCGGTGTTCATCGATATACTTTCCCACCCTCTGAAAATAATGCAAAAGTTATTCTTGATTTGGGTCATATTTTATCTTTTGGTTGGAGGTATTACGATATATGTATTACTGATGTCGTTTATGTTAACTTTATTATTTACATACATCATTTACATAATGATTACAGTGCCAGATATGAAAATGCAGCAATCACTTCTATTTCTCACAATCAAATGAAAGGGGTAGGCCGATACAAAGGTGGCTGGAATAGCGATGGTCAATACCGAGTCTTCTTTTGTTCCCAATTCAACGTCAACGCAACTAATTACGAGACTTGGTGGAACAATAGAATCAATAAAAACACTTCATCTTATATCGGCGTATCTTTTGTCGATAAGATTGGCGCGATTCTAACTTTTGATACTATTAAAAATCCTGTAATCGTTTCCAGAGTTGGCATCTCATTCATTTCAGATGATCAAGCTTGTGAAAATGCTGAAAGTGAAGTACCAGATTGGGATTTTGATAAGACAAGAGACGAAGCCGTTAATGCTTGGAATAAAGAATTGGGAAGGATTCAAGTTGGTGGTGGATCTATAAATGTTACAGAATCTTTTTATAGTAGCTTATATAGGACAATGATTATTCCAAGTGATAGGTGTGTGGGTATTTTTATTAATCAATATCTTCATTGATGATGAATAAAATTTGTTTATTACTGTTGCATACCCAGAACTGGTGAGAATCCAGATTGGAAGTCGTTCGATAAAAAGGGTAATCTTATACCATATTATGAAGATTTTTACACTTTGGTATGCTTTATTTTTGTATTATTTCTTCAAAATAATTTATAAGATGCTTATTTTATTTTATTTTTTATATAATCAATAGTGGGACACATTCAGGTAATTTGAGATTTAAATATAATTATAATAATAATCATTATCCAGCAGCTACTATGATCGTACCAACAGAATAACTCGATTATTTGATAATGATTGCATCATTATCAAATAACTTAGTTATTTGATAATGACGCAATCATCATCAAAATAACTCGAGGCATTCTGTTGGTTCAGTCGTCGTCGTAACTACTTGGATAATGTTTCTACCACAAAATCCCGACATCCAAAATCTCGAAACCATAATCCCGACGTGATAATTAATATTTAAAGATTAGTAATCACATTAACAATCATTGTTAGACTTTAAATTTTAATTGTTACTTCGCGTGATGTCAGTATTATGGCCTGTCGAGATTTGGATTCGGGATTTTGTGGTAGAACCCCGAATAATACCGTTATTAAATACTACGTAGCCAATAACTTATTTATCTGGCAGCGAATTTAATATGTCATTTTTGGGCCCCTTTGGAGTCTAGAAGCTGACACGTTAAATTTCACAGCCAGATAATTGAGTATTTTTCAAGTCATTCCCGTTATTGGCTGTTTCGCATCAATAACTCTATTATTACAGAGACTCCTCCAAATGCATTCTATCTTAATTGGTTTACATGATTTCCTTGACAATTATTTCTTTGACACCTAATTCCTACTAACCCCTAAATGATTGTTGGACTACCGCTCTAAGTGTACTGTCTTTCTAAATGTACACTCAAATCCTGGTCTAAATATGCACTTGGCTCCCATAAACGTGCTCTTTCTTTTTTCTTATTGTTCTCTAATGCATGTTGTAAAAATTTGTACCTATATGATGCATTTAGAGAAGTCTAACTATATAATTATCATTAATAACATTATTATATATGGCGTTTCACTAATTTCATCAATAAACATGCAATTACATAGAACAACAAATCCATTATTTACGCTTTTCCAACCAGAACGTGCCGTGGATATTACTAGTTCACTAATTGATATTTATGTGCATGAAGGTTATATGCCTGATGGAAGAAGTGGTTCATGGAATGGAATTACGCAAGGTGGATCTAATGCTGATATGGTTGTGGTAACTGCATAAATATATATTATTTAAAAAAAAAATCAATACTTTTATTTTGTTCACTCCACTATTTCTTTAATTACAGGCAGAAACATATTTAAAAAAGATAGATGTTAGTGGCAAAATAGACTGGGAATTAGCGTACAAAGCTCTTATCAAAGATGCTGAAGTAGATCCATGGGAAAAGGGCTTATCAGAAGGTCGATTATACTTAACAGATTATAAAAAATATGGCTATATTCCTTTCCCGGATGATGGTAAAACTGGATATGCTAACGCTCAGTGTAGTCGAACTTTGGAGTATAGCGCTAATGATTATAGTATTGGTCTTGTTGCTCAAGGTATTTTGAATTAAATTGATTACTATGACTGTTTCTTTATTTATTAGATCCTTAGCGTATTGATGTATTGACACATGTCACATGTTTTTTTAATTTTAAAGGATTGGATAAAATCGATGATTATATAAAATACAGGAAGCGTGCAACTAGTTGGGAAAATTTATGGTGTTCAGAAAAAGTTTATGATGGTAATTATTTATTCAGTCTTTATATTTTTACATCCGTTCTTCCATTTAATTTTGTGTGATGTGATAAAATAGGTGTTAAAGGATTCATCATACCAAAATATATAAACGGATCATTTAATATGAATTGGGTTGTTGATAGAAATTTTGATGGGGGTTGGAATACATTTTATGAAGGCACTTCATGGGAGTATAGTATGGATGTACCTTTTGGTATGTATTTTTAAGGATTCTTTTATTTACGATTGAATAGTGCTAATTGATTATGTATTTTATAACAATTAAGACGTAAGAAGATTGATCGAATTATCAGGAGGTCCGAAACATTTTGAAAATAGACTTGACAAAACATTCTCAGATCATACTTTTCTGGGGAATTACTATAATATAGGGAATGAACCTGATTTTTTTCATACCTGTTTATATCATTTTATTGGAAAACAGTATAAAAGTGTAGAAATTATTAGAAAAATTATGGAAACTAAGTTTGGAAATACAAATGACGGGATTCCAGGTTCGTAATATAAAAACACGAGTAGCGCAAAAATTTGTCGGTGATGTAATATCCGAGCTGATCGGACCAAAACTTAATCTCGGAAAAATACTTGATATAACCGATTAACCCGTCTTAGGTATTTTTCCGCCTTAAGTTTTGATCCGATCAGCTCGGATATTACATCACCGACAAATTTTTGCGCCATGACTACTCTAAAAACACAATAATTAGATGAATGCCATTTATTATATTTTACTCCGGACATTGGTTATCTAGTTCACGTCTCATATGCTATTTCTTATTGTACCCAAGGTTTTATTCAAGATTTTAATTTTTAAATTTATTAATACTTGAGGGTACTTTATACAAAATCGAATAATACTATACAATTTTATGAAAAGTATAGTCATACCTATAGTTGATGCATAATTAATGCACGAAATTACACCACAATTCAGTAATAGTTATGTTGTCAACTATTATACCACTAGGTATTAGGCACGGCAAATCATTCCCGTGTCTAATTATGGGATATTATTTCACGGAAACACTGTTAATTATTATTGCATGATTCTCAATCAAATATGATAAATGGCATCTTGGACAACGTTAAGTTCGTTTAAATACGATTTATCCCAATTTAAACACAATTTCTATTTATAGGAAATGATGACTCTGGAGCTATGGGAAGTTGGTACGCTTTCAACGCTCTTGGATTATTTCCAATGTAAGAAATAAAATTTCTTTAAAAATATTATATGAATGATAATATTAAATAATTTAAACTTCTACTATACAACAACAGAGCTGGAACAGATATTTATCTAATAAATTCGCCACAGTTCGATGAGATTACTATATATCTCTCAATATCACCACCAATAACATTTAAGATTATAGCTCATAATCTTACGTACATCCCTGATATTCCTGATATCGTTGAACCAGACTCAGAATCAAACTCTGCTCCTTTAAATCATGTTATTATTAACTCTGATACCTCGAATTTTGATTCAACTGCAACCAATAATTCAAGTAATTCAGGACCGATTTACGTTAACCCGTATGTTCAGAGTGTTAAAATAAACGATAAAATATGGGAAAAAACTTGGTTTAGACATAGTGACATCTCAAAAGGTGCAATAATGGAATTACAGATGGGGCCAAAACCAAGCAAAGTTTGGGGTGTTGATGATGATGAAATTGAAAAGCAAAAAGATGTAGAAGACAGAGTTATGCCACCTAGTATGAGCGACTATAAAATTAATACAGAGGAAAGTAAAGAGAAAAAAAATAGATTTGCAGATTCGAATGAATGGACTTCAAGAATGGACATTTTTGCTTAGTAAATAACAATTTTCTATATTTTTTGAATTATAATATATATATATATTTCTACTGGTATATCTCGTATAATTAATTATTTTAATTATTTTGATTTTTTTGCAAACCATAGTCACTTTTTTTTATTTTGATTACTTTAGATTTGATTTAATTAATAATAATTAAACAAAAAACAAGCATTCAAAAATAAGATTATGTAGATTTTAAATTTTGATTTTAAATATTGGTTTAAAATTTTGTTTTAATTTTAAGATTTTCTTGACTATTAACCATAATGTTATTAAAATACTGCGTCAAATAATTACCAAACATTTTAAATTATTCTATAAATAATAAAGTGGATTTACCAATTTGTAGTATAGTTTAAAAAAAGATACATTTTGATGTTGCTGGCTGGTAATGTTTACTTATATATTTCTGACCTAATACGTCAGTGTTGGAACATGACCGGATGTGACCTAAATGACTAAGTGACAAGTCATTTTAGCTCCACTGATTTATGTGACCTGATGTGATCAACTTTCTTCTAATTGGTTAAATTTTGAATTTATTAAAATATAAGGTAGCTGTTGCGCGAAACCAGGAACGAGGATATATTGTAAGATTTGAAAAGCAAGCTTTAACACAGGCATATATTGTAAGATTTGAAAAACAAGCTTTGACACAGGCATAATGCTATAATTATAATGGGTTATGACATTTTGCCATAACTTATAACAATTTACAGCATCATGACCAGGTACGTACGTACAATTTCCAGACATATGGGCTGATTTTTTCGATTTATGTAGATCGTACCCCAAAAATTTGTTTAATTCTGGTCAAATTTGCAGATCATTTGGCCTAACGGGGATGAGTTTAAAACTCATCCCCGGTAGCCTAGTCGAGGGTTAGAAACTCCATTAAAGTCACCCTAGCATCTAGGGTTGTATTACACAAAATTACATTTTTCATTACATGAAATTTACATTGTAACTTACGAAACTGTAATGTAACTTTACAATATATATCGCATCGTCACATCATAATTGCACTAGCATTACAAAAGTTTTGCCGGCATTAATAGATATCAGTCATTGTGTTCGGAACTTTAATTTTATATTTCTTTTTATGTTAGCTTTACAAAGATTTTGGCCCAAATTATTCACATGATCCAAATTACATGTAATTTTGATTTCAGAAACTTACACAAACCTACATAAAATTACGTAAAATTACGGTAATTTTCCAACCCTACTAGCATCACCAATCTAAAAAATTTCGCACATCATGTGATCTTATTGCAAAACCAAAAACATTTCGCCATTAGGTTAGGGTTAGGGTATTACAAGTAGATTAGGTTTAGAGGGTTATAGGTGTACCAAAATTTTGCGAGGAAACTTTTTGTTAATGCGCAGAAGACAGTTTCATAGATAAAATTTTGAGTTACGGCCGATTTTAGTTTTTGAACTTTTTTCACGTTACACCTGATCTCGAAATTTGATTGGCTGCGAAATTTTTTGACTGGTGATGATATTAGGGTTGTTCCAAATGATCTGCAATTTTGACCAGAATTAACACAATTTTTTGGGTACGATCTACATAAATCCGTATGATAATTTTGTCCCTCATCGAGGAGGTGTTGAAATACAAATAAATACAGTTTCGGGTTATCTATCCCTTCCGCCTTTGTGCTATTGTGCCCATATTACAAATACAGAATTTGAGAGTATCGCATGAACAACTTTATGTTACTGTTTACTACATGTGCAACTGTGCTACTATGCTAACTATGCTGCTAACTATGCTACTAACTTGGCGGGCAGGGCAAAAAAAACCAGAATTCTGGAAAAAACCCCGCCGCAACCAAGAAATTTCATGTGACTGTCGTCCCGACAGGCCACTCTAAACTCAAAATAAATGTGACTGTCGTCTCGACAGGTCAGTACAAAAAAACTCAAAAATGTGACTGTCGTCCTGACAGGCCACTCTAAACTTAAAAAACTCAAAATAAACGTGACTGTCGTCTCGACAGGTCAGTACAAAAACAACTCGAAAATGTGACTGTCGTCCCGACAGGCCACTCTAAACTTAAAAAACTAACTATGCTGCTAACTTGGCGGGAAGGGCAAAAAAAAACCAGAATTCTGGAAAAAACCCTCCCGCAACCAAGAAATTTCATGTGACTGTCGTCCCGACAGGCCACTCTAAACTCAAAATAAATGTGACTGTTGTCTCAACAGGTCAGTACACAAAAACTTAAAAATGTAACTGTCGTCCCGACAGGCCACTCTAAACATAAAAACTCAAAATAAATATGACTGTCGTCTCGACAGGTCAGTACAAAAACTCAAAAATGCGACTGTCGTCCCGACCAGTCACTTTCCACTCAAAAAAATCAAGATAAATGTGACTGTCGTCTCGACAGGTTAGTACAAAAAACTCAAAAGCGTGACTGCCGTCCCGGCAGCCACTTTCCACCAAAACTTAAATCCACTGAGTAATGGCTATCTCCTCATTACGCTCTATCATGCAATGATACCTACCCGAGCGTAACTCGCACAAAACGATAACATTCCTGTTTCTGTCGTTCCGACAGGCTACTCATCAAACCAATGATTCCAAATATCGTGTAACAAATGCTCGTTAGGCCACCCTGCGAAGGGTGGGAGAGGGCGGGACGAAAAAAACAGACAAAGTCGGGTTAGCAGAAAAAACAGAACTTATCTTGTCTGGGAAAAAAACCCATTCCCTTTAAGTATGCCCTAACGATTACAAATCAAAAAAACTACGTAATTACGTCGTTACTATAATAAACTCCAACGACGTAATTACGTCGCTACCATCACTAGCTCTAACGATCACCAGATCGAAAAAATTACGCAATTTACCATCATACCAATAAACTCCATTTTTACGATTACTAATCGAAAATACTACCCAATAACAAAAATGAAAAACCACATCATTCTGCCATAAAACATTTGCATAATATTTCCCCAGTAATCAAGCAATAAATCATAACTATACAATCATACGATCAATTAATTTAGCTCCGTGTTCGATTCGAGACAAAATGCTGCTTCCGATACTATCGTATCGGGCAGCCAATAAATAAAAGTTTGGCTATATAATTTTCATTATAAGAATCTCATTATTTATACAGTACAACCCCTAAAAATTTGAACGTAAAATAACCTTTATGCTCTCACTAATAAAGTGAAAATGATAAGTATTTTAGGAATTTAATAGCTTATCATCACTGTGCCTTTTTGGAATTGGGCCTAAATTAAAAACCCCGAATTACTATTGAATTATCGTGATTATTAATGATGATTACGTGTCAATCACATGACGCACATACTAAAATGAACCCCAAATCGAATAAAACTAATATAGTGATCACGTCAAACCCAT